TACCCCAACCGAGGTTGAAGGGGAGCATATGGGCTTGCGATCAGTGTACGTTACCAGGAGTTGCGATTTCCACCACTTTGAAATCCGGACCGGAAGGATCTCGTGCGTGAACAGTCAACATCAGAGACTTTCAAAAAGCCGCCTTATTTTCACGTATGATCTGATCCATTAAAATTAAACGTAAGATATCACTTGGAACACAGGGGATGAACTGCCAAACGTCCAATCAAGCCAGCAATTACGTAACATCCTCGTGAACTGGGTGACAGTTCGTATTGTCACGTTTTTGTTAGTGGTTTGCACCCTTGTCGTTTGAATTGATCAAGATCATATATGGCAGTCTTCAATCATTTCTCTGCGTTCTCCTCACCCCACCTCATCCTCACGCTTCCCTCGTTGTGTCAGGCGATTCGCAATCCGACGCTCGCGGGAGTACCCTGAGTGCCATGGTTGAACGCTCACTTCGTGACTGCATTTCAGTCGGTAGCCGACTGTGCACTGTACATCTCAACGGTTAGGTACGAATCAACAGCTACAGAACGAAGCGTCGATGCTTATTCGTCGTATCGGTATATGCACCGACCAACTGCAGTTCTCCAGAAATGAACGATGAATTCTACAATGATCTTTCTCAACTGCTCCAAAGTGCTTTATCAACGGACATCGTCGTATTCACTAAATACATCAATGCCCAAGTGGGATCCCTGGACGAATCAGTATAAATGCAATCCCAGCCAACAGAACTGACAACAGAGAACGACTACCCCAACTATGCGCTGATCACGGACTGTTCCTGTCAAGCACAAAATTACCACACAAGAAGCAACATCACCTTACGTGGAAACCGCCAACCTCTTCCTAGCAATGGACTCAAATCGACCGCATCGCCAACAGCTGCCGTTGACAAGAATCCATTCTACACTGCCACCCTCCCGGGTCAACACATGTGGATACAAACCATGCTATCTCTCTCTCTAAAGAGCCAGATTCTCCATACGCCTGATAAACAATCGCTAGAAAGCCACAAAAAACGGAGGACCACAATACTATGTCAACGATAATTGCAAGTCGGCCTTCGAAGCGGAACTCTCTGATCGCCTTTTAGTTCAACCATCAGCCGAAGGACCCAGTGAACACTGGACGACAATCAAGGAAGTGATCCAAATGTCCATCAAAACAACGGCGGATTCTGGTACATGATCAGAGCTAAAACGATGGATCTATTCGACCTCAGCCGCCCTGCTGGACGCTCATCAAGCCATTTCTTCTGATGAGAATTACGAAAAGCGCCCAAATCCCTTAAACACCAGCTTATCAAGAGCCTGCGGAATAACCGCAAGAAGTGGTTGATAAGGAAATGTAAGAATATGAAGAAAATTACAGTTATAGGTAACGATCGCAATCTTTTTCGATTGATTAGGAGTACAGACCCAAGGAAAATAGTCGTAAGCAGGATAATTAGGGAATTTGACGGCACACCGATTCACATGCAGGAACTGCCTCAAACGATGGGCAGAACATTTGAAAGCACAGTTCAGCTGGCCCCCGTCGACACAAAACCTCCCTATACTTGCTTCACCTGGGCAAATACTGCCAAAGATATCAGTCCTCCATCTGTGACAGAGGTTACCAAGGAAATCAGTTACCTCAAAAGATATTAGGCCTTCGGCCTGGGTGGGCTCTTTTCATCGGTTTTTAAGGAGGGATGGTGAGCCTTAATTTCGGAGTTAACGAAACTCGTGAGAACAGTGTGGGAGAGGGAATATGTTCCGAACGAATGGGGTGAATCGGTGACAGATCCTCTTGTGAAAACTAAAGGGAAATTAAGCCAATTAACATTGTTTCTAAGTTTCTCGGTAGTATTATAATCGGGCGATTGTCTGCCCTAAGTGAACGGTGCACGCGTATGAATCAGGCTGATCTTAGACCTGGTCGAAACTGACTCGATCTGTATTTTCCCTAGGCAGCCTTTGTGTGGACGCAGCCCCCTTCCTGAAAGTTGACTGTACATTTGTATATGCAATAAATAGAAAAAGGAAGTAAAAAGACATTTAATTTTTAATTTAATATAGAACTAGAACCAATTTATCATTACCTAAGGAACCACTGGTGACCCAAAACTGTCCCAGTCAAAACCGACGCAGAACCAGTTCGAAACCGGTTCAAATCGGTTTCCGGTTGATCTAAGAAAGCCAATCGACCAATGAGGAAAGAGGAGGCGTCACCATAACAACGACGCAGCCAATTAAATTACAGCAAATGGTCATAACTGACCAATAGGATTGAAGGGGCGCATACGGCCAATCAAAACTCTCGAACAGAACTATATAAGCGCGGTCACACTGAGGACCGGCGCTTCCCCAAAGTTGCACTGATGATGTTGCCTAGCCTGGCTACGAAACATCTGCAAACAACACTCCCAGCTCGGAGAATATACCGCCGCCAACATCCACATTCCGAGCTACAATCGCTCCACATCATTTCCAACACCTTTCATAGACCCATCATTTCTATCGTCCTCGATCTGAAGGCAGTTTTCGATTCCGTCGACCGCTCTTAACTCTGGCTCTCTGTGAAAAGTCTACCCGAGAAGTGTATTTCAATTTTGCGATCTCGTTCTACTAACAGCCGAGTCCGAGCTTACGGCACGTTTTCGCCCGAGGTAACCGCCGAAAGTCGTGTACATCAGATTTGTCGTCTCTCTGTTCATTTCTGTTTAACTGTTTCATAGATTTAATTCTCCAAACAGTCTTGCATGGTGCGAGTATAGCGGCATCGAGTAGCTTCCGGGGGGTAGACTTTCTGATTTGAGGTATACTGACAAATTTGTGCTGTGAAGTTAACGTCCAGGTAAGCTGTGAGCTTTTCTGGAAAGTTTGAGCGCTAGTGTAGCCACGTGTGGTATGCGTTTTGCACTTTCGAAGTGTAAAATTTTGCTACAAGATTGAGTTGACCCGGCCTCTAACCTCACTCTAACTGGGGAAATAGTGGAGGAAATTTTGCTATTTGGACAGCTACTGTTCACCTGGTGGACCCGCTACAGACGAATTGTGGGTACGCATTTAGAAGGTTCGTTTGACGTTTGCCAACTTGAGACATGTGCGGCGGTGTCGTGACATCCAGCTGTCTGTGAAGGGTCGAGTATATGCTGCAGTACTTAGGTCTGTCCTGCTCTACGGCGCAGATACTTGGCCATTACGAGAGAATCATAAAAGTAGATTGTTGGTGTTCGAACACCGTTGTCTACGCCGCGTTGCACGAGTCTGTCGAGGAAACTAGATAAGCAACGGTGGGGTTAAGCGTAAGGTTTGACGTAATTGCGGTCGTCCACTGGAATAAGTAATCGACCTCCATAGACTACGGTGTTTGGGGTATATGTTACACATGCCAACTTCAACATTCCAATCTTCCCTCTGCTCTTTTATCCAAATGGTTAGCTAAAAACAGTAACGAAAATGGGAGCATAAAAGTGCATGGCTGTTGGTTGTAAAAAGTGAACTGAACTGAAACGCATTCGGTAAGGATATGATGGTGGGGAATATATTACAGAGTAGTTGGTTCTGACCGGTACAACTATTCCTATCCAGACTGTATATCCTTCCACCAAAGCCACCCACTTTGTGTCACTCTCAGTAAGACCAGCCAATTCACACCAGGTGTGTTCGATCATTTCGAATTTTGGTTCATATCAATACAAGATGTAACTGAACAAACTTGATAACAGAGAACCTAGGACCAGAGTGTACACTTACCGCTGTTGGATTCCAGCCGATCAACTGTATTCGGACAAGTGGAGAGAAAAGTTGGGGTAAGCATAACGCCACGTAGGCTTCCGCGTACGATTGTGGGAACTGTGCATGCCAGTCCGCGAATCTTTGAAAAATGGAAGGCAAGTGACAATACTCGTCAACCACATCCTCGAACAACGAACGAGCGTCCACGAGCAACGCATCTGGAACGGAAAGAGACCCGGGAAATGTACATGCTGGTGATGCGAACTGTATCACTTTGACTAGCAGGTTATCTGGACTTAGTTACTGCAATGGGCCTGATACATTCAACCAATTGACTTCCTTGGACGCGTTAGTTTATGGTAAGTGGATAGGTTTGAAAACGCCGATTTATATACCCGTCTATAAATATCCTACAATGATTTTGAATAGAGTCTGTGAATTGGTCTCCTGACTTTCTAAAAACACTGAATAATGCTGAATGGTCATGGGTGTGATATATGATAGTATAGTAAGATAATGGACGGAAGGGGATAATCACAGGTAAAAGAGAGCCTCTGCCATGAGGCATACAGGTGAGAAGGGCGGAGACACCACCAGGGAAAACGTCCAGGACAATTCGAAACGAACGAGGCGACAAAAGCAGACCGGCATATAACCAGCGACTGACCATAAAAACAACAGCTATCGCTCGATGTATCGATAGCTCAACAATCAGACCAAGCCATCAAGTATAGCATAAGGATGAAGAGGAGTGCCACTTGCCAATATCTGATCAAAAGTGCTAGAGATGAGCCAACCGCATGAATCATGCATTATCATGCTGCGCGGTCGAGAATAAGTTGTTTCTAATACAGCGTCCGTATGATTTGCTCAATACACAATTCACATATGGATTACCCGTCCAATTTACAGTGACATAAGGAACCGACCAGGCAGCACGCAAGAAGGCTGCTATGACAGGATATCAGGCGGATTATAAGGAAAACCTCTGATGGATTCCATAGGCCTATTTAAGCTGGATGGGTAATCCAAATGTGAAAAGATCAGTACTATTGGTGTGACCTCGTAGCGCAGCTGGTAAAGCGTGCAAGGATACTGAACTTTTCACAGTTCAAATATAAGGCTCAAATCTGCCAAAAGACATAATTGAACAATACAAATTTTTCAGCCGAATGACCTTCTCTATAACAATAGGAGTATCGCATCGAAATGGGCGAACAGTCGCCTGTATACCATGGGGTATATTCTTTCTAAATGGTCTCTATAAATTAAATAACTCCCAACTATGGCTTCTAGAGGTTGAGGTATGAATCAGCGGTCACGTTCCGGCAAACCGATTGACAGGTAGGAGAAACAAGGGTAAGGGTTACCAAAACATACAAAATCGACCAAAACGTGGACTTCATGTAAAGACTGATAATTCTTACCAGATGGACGAGACCTAATCACTAACTAATAAGAGCGCATGGACCTTTGGCCTGAATCCACACCAGCGAAATGGTGAAAGTGCTTAAACTGAACTGCCGGCAACCACACATCAATAGACTGACTCATGGGCGTCATTCTGTCCACACTTTGCTGTACAAATGCAAGATGCGCCCTCAAAAAAGCGGGTGATGCTGGCAAGGTCTGTTGTACAAAAGCTCCCCCGGGAAACCTCATTCGGAAGGCCGGTTTATCCCCTCCAAAGAGCCAGCCATAATCCGGTAAAACATGGCCTGATTGGTCATTTACATTATTGTCAGTTAACACTACAGTTGTAAATCTGAGAACGCGAGCGCCATGAATGGAAGAGAGACGGGGGCACGAATGAGAAAGAAATGCCGACTTACCGAGATCTGCTTTGCGCTTGGCAATCACCGATTGAGGTTCCTCATCGTCTGTACTCATCCCGTCCAGATGAGCCAACACTGGGATCTGAGAACCGGAACTATTTTCCCGTGCCCGTTGACGTCGCATTCTATGAATGGCCCGATCAGGCAGGCGACAGCATGAGAATGACAATTCGAANGTAACAGAACTCATTTAACTGATCCGGACGATGATCATTTCGAATACACTACGCGTGACTTTATCAGAATTATGACAAACTATCGTGTGTAATGAACAACAAACGAGGTCAATTCCATAGTCACAAGGACCCGCTATTCACTTATTTGGAGTGGTGAGTCATATATTACCCAGTAAGTTAGGTGTGATAGTGAGCCAGACAATAACAAAACTGCCTATCACCAGTATTGACATCGAACTTCAGCTTATACAGTGTGAAAAAGAACACGTTTGCCCAGCTGGGCGATTCGCACGAAAACGGTATGCTCTCAATTATCGTGATCCCTTTGTGGCTTATGATATGGATGTGATGTTTTCCTTTTCTTCGTTTAATTCCATAGTTCCTATCCCAGTTTTCCGTAAAGATAGCTTGTAGGTGGTTTTAATCCACCTTTAATGTTCTTCGGACCGCTTATCGAGTCACCAAACTTCTTCTATGTTATGTCGTACCGATCTCCAGCCGCAATGAAACCAAACCACAAGCATTGGCTAATGATGAAACGTTCGCAAGCAAACTGTGGGTCCAGTGAATGGACGAAAACAGGGTCATGCAACAAGGGACCAAGGGGGACGATTTTCATCGTTTATTCAGTCAAAATACCGTTTGATATTTGGAACTTATAACATATGGACGATAATTTGTTTGAAAAATAAATACACTGTTTCTCCTACTGCTGATGTAAGCCAAATTAACTGAAAATGACAGTTTACTCAGGTAGTAGTGAGGTAGTTGACACAGAAATAACCCACAGGCCTTCCATACGAACGTTCTGCCTCTTGGTACTTTGCAGATTTGCAGCACACTATTTAGGCGACTTGACCGCAAACTAATACGTATCGACTCCTACGGAACCGAGGGTTACCCTCTTAGCAAGTGTGCTAATCGTAGCTGTTGTTTCTTTACCTACAAAGCTCTAGCGGCTCTCGTTGTGCATAGTAAGTTGTAAAATTCCTACTGCGGACGCAAGCTTACGCGTCACAGCTGTTCTCAAGCTGTGTTCTCCGAGCAAAGTACGTGAGACGATCACCAGATAAAGTGATGTGCGTTATTTATTGTGTACTGTAACATCCCAGGCCAACTCGTTGCTATATATTCACAGATATTCTTTTACTTAATGCACAGCTTCAAACAAACTTGCATTTCTCTACTTCTGTCATTAACGTTCTGTCCTGAGAGCCAGCATAATATCAACATTTGAAGGATGCGCAACGCGGGGGAAGTCACCGGGTTTACAATCGAAAAACATGAGTCATCGTCGTCCATCGAAAGGTTGAACGCAAAAACGGATTTTGTTCTGATTTTTTTTATATTTACTTTTGTTGAATACACAATAATAGGATTTTCAGGAAGAGGGAAGCGACTAATCAAAGGGCTGCCACTGACGAGATATGTGAACTCTATCTTTATATTCACACTGGTGAAAGCTGATTGTCGCATAGGTAGGCGCGGTGTAGACGAGTTACGACTGTTTCTGCCTCTTTGTTGAATCATTGCCTAAAAGCATACCGAATGTGGAGAGACAGGCAGATCTTTGGGGACTGAAATCTGCATGGGGAGAAGTGTCGTGTATTTTGCATGAGTGATCGTAATGAAGAATCGTGAAAATCGTATATAAATGCGCCGTAATGATTGTTTTCTTGAGATCAAGTACTGACTTCCGTTCAGTTAGCTGTCGAATGCTCCATCACAGATCCCTAAGTAACAAATCCAACCGATTATCATATTCGCGATTCTGCAAGACAAATGAACTCCTAGCAAGTGATAAGGGAGATAAAAATTAATCAGTAGGAAGCGTGGTGAAGGGAAAACCTGCAAAGTTCGATGATGATCGAGCGAAAATCCACAAAGTGTGTTGTTAGACTTTAGCAGGAAAAAGTTAACGCTTTGGTCGGAAAACCAACCACATGAGAGCATGCATTGTTCAGAGAAGGGAGTCTGACATTTAGAGATCAATAAACACCACATTACCCAACCAAAACAGGTGTCACCCGATCGAGAAAAGGATAGACACACAACGAATCGGATCTTGTGAAACTAGCCATCTCATTCAGACAAATGCATGCTTGTCTTATTTAGGATCAAAGTCTCACCGTGAGTATTTCCTTATTTATATATCTTTCAAGAAATTGACAGGGTACTCTAGCGATATGACTTACCGTCGAGATTCCCGTTCCGCACAACGTCGACGCCTGGCTTCAAGCTGCTTCGCTTCGTCTGAATTTTTGGATGCTGAGTTCGGGGTTGCAGTCGATGCTGAAATTCGTGAAAAGGTGACGGGATGAGGAGTTCGAAAACATAAGAACGACCATGTATAAAAATGAAATTGTTCGATTAAATGGATTTGAGCATCACCGATCGCAAACAAAACATTAATTTCCGAGCTTATCGGTTTCAAAATGTGTATGCCCTTCCAAGGTCCCAATTTTCCGGCTAACGAGTCCAAGGCCATCGCAAGAAATGGGACCATTGGTTAGGGATTCGGAAACGGGTGCCAAAAAAGTGATACTCACTTTCTTGCCAAGGAACAGTTAGATAGTGGGTGGGAGAAGTGCAAATATGGTCATAATATATCATAGTAGGCAAGTATGTAGATCCCGATCAGGGTCCTCAGTTACGTAAGTCACATTAGGCATTCTGGTTCGAGACCTCATGACTGGCGTAATCAATTGATAGAACTATTGTTGGATGATATGAATGAGTCCTGTACACAGTGGCACTCGTGCACTTACTCACTTTCTAAGCAGACTTAGTTTATCGGCTTTTCAAGCATATATTGTAATAGTGTGCTCAGCTTTAAACTTTTTCATTCTCTTTTGCTCACTTTTCGACCAAATGGGCAGGCGAAAAGCAGATGCTAACGCTATAACACCGCTGTGCATGGTTGAGAAAACTGAAACTGTCCTCTAGCTTGGCATCGCATTTATCAAAATGAGCCACTAGTGGCTTGTCCAACCTAGGGTTCAGGCTTTAGTTTTCCGGTCTCCATAACATAACAGTGGGTCTTTGTGACCAAAGGGTTTGTTCTCCTGTTGTTTGTAACACAGAAATGTATAATAAAAGGAATGACAACAGGTCTCTGCGTATTTTACAGTGCCGTATTTTTTACCAGTCTCATATTCTAGAGACGTTTAAGATCAATTATAGCAGCCACACTACACAACATCTGACCAGCAAACTGTTTCATCACAAATCAATGCATGTGCATTTATTTATTTCTTTGGGGGGGNTTGGGGGGGGGGGTGCACTGCTCGCGCGAAGCTATTGCCATCCGTTTGCATTTCGTTAATACTCTGTTTACTGCAGCTGTTCATTTGATGTCGACTATTCATCCATTGGACGTATAAAGCTAAGCATCACCTGAATTGAATTGACCAATGAACATGGTAAGGATTTATTTAAACAGTCCGAAAAATTGAACAGACAAACTAAACTAAATCAGTTATCTCTTTCGTTTGTCCTTACAAAAATAACATCATCTGCATACTTGTTAAGCAGATTATGTTCAAGGATGAGAGTGGAGCATAAATAAACAAAACAGGGGAATGGAGAAGGAATAGCACCATGGAGTACACTCGACGTGGAAGCCAGATCGGGAGAAATCTGATACCGACAGTGCGTAAACTGCTGACAGATAATCGCACAGAAGAGCATCCAGAGCGTGGAACACAAGGATCAGCGCGAGAGGGAAGGAAATAGGCTTTCTCTCTAAGCAACCGCAAGCGTCGCTATGGTCAAAGAAACAAATCATCAGGGACTTGCACTTTCTGTGGAAGGGCAAGTGATATACACTAAGCTACAGGAGTCCGAACATCGACAGCAGAACAGGAGTCACTACCCATAAAAAAGCCTGGAGTCATGACTGCTGAACTGGACCAAGATTTCCCTTAGGAGTTTTACAATAAGTGTTCAGAACTTTTGGTCGTTACTGGTTGAAGCTTCAAAAATACAGTTGGATTACAAATTCAGCGGCTTTTGGAGGAACCCTTAGGGCAAGATCCTGTTGCACCCACAAATGAATATACCGGCATTATCAAGGGATTCCTGGCACTAAAATCTAAAAAAAGTGGTGGGTCTAATGGTCTCCAGTTCATATCGCGGAAAGTATGTGCTGGTATCCTATCACCAGTTAGGTTCATCCAATTGGTGCTAGGCACGTGGAACAGTACCCGGGTATTAGGAGACAACAAGAACTGTTCCCGCATTTGACCTATTGCTTGTACAGTGTCTACCCTGATTTTTTAAAGAGCGCCTTGAAAAAATTATTAGTCCAATCCAGCATACATGGCTGTAACCAGGTTAAGGTTGGCCGCTCCACTTCTACTCTAGATGCTCCTCCCCCTGTAACCTGTCAAATATTATCCTTCTTTCTACAGAAAGTGCTGATCTGTAATTATTGTCTTTCGAACTGCAGTGATGCGTGCGGTTGTGTGGAGAATCCCGCTCCGTCCGCTTCTTGTGTTCTACGTTCTCTGAATGCTTCTGTGTAAATGCCCATCAAATCGTCTGCAGCTTACGCGCTAATCGTGTCCGATTTCCTCTCCCTGACCTCCGTTTTGAGTGAACTCCAAGCTGTGCTTATGTTTGAATCTTTTTTGTCAATGTATTTGTTTATCACATCCGGTCTTGAGTATAGCTTGCCCATCAACTATTCAGACAACGTTATTTTTCGTAAACAGTGGCGTTCGTGCATCTCAATTTCTTCCCAACCTTAGTCCACTGAACTTCTCCATTTTCCTTCCGAATCCACTTTCCAACTTTCCTTTCTTTTCCTATTCTTCATCCAAATGGGCAGCCAAAAGACAGCAACCAAACTCCTATTCTTCATCCCTGGGCAGCCAAAAGACAGCAACTCCACTTTCAACTTTCCTCTCTTCTCCTATTCTTCATCTCAATGGGCAGCCAAAAGACAGCAACCAAAACCGGCGCACGAATAGTGCATGGTTAATGGTTGTTCAAACTGAAACTGAAACTGAATTTTTTGAAAGAAAAGATCATATCGCAATACTGCACGATTTATGTCCAGGACGATTTCGCTGCATCTCAACCAATTCCAATGTGGATGCGGAGCGACCTACGTGGGCAGAACAGAGCGACAATTACGTAACCGGGTGGTCGAACATGTTTCAAATTGGGTCCGAAGTCAGATGACGCAATCCGGGTCCAGTCCGCGGCATAGAAACAACGGTCGAGACTACAAGACTCTGTCGTCAGCCCTAGCTCGACATCTGATGACGTAACACCAGATCGACCGAAGCACGGGATTTCAGATTATCTACAAGTCACGAATTGCAAGATTGCTAAGGTTCGCAGAAGCGATTGTTAACAGCCGATGGAAGCCCCCCTACTGCCAACAAAAAGAACTTTATGCTAGTTTATCCTGTCCCTGGTGACAGTAATTTTACCCCGTTTTATCTTTGTCTGTTTCATTGTATTTTACTCTTCTTTGTTGCCATGCTAAATCCCTATATAAATATTGTGTTTTCTGCAGTATGCACCATGTTTGGATGCAGCGAAATCGACCTAGCCATAAATCGTGTAGTATTGCAATATGGTCTTTTCTTTTGAAATTGATTTCGGGAAATGCTTGCTTCAGTTTTCTCAAAACTCGTCTCCCGAAAACGTTACTTTTGGCATGACTTACTCTGACGACTTTAGCTTTCTATTGTTTCACAATGCCATGTCGAAACTCAATGCTCCGTGTGCGAAACACAATGCTGATATTAGCCCAACTAACCCANTTAGTGTCATATTCTCTCTCAACAATACCACTTCCATTATTACTCGTTGCAGTAGTAGCTTCATGCCTGGCCTCAGGTGTCGATTGGAGGTGAGCTCTTCCGTGAACACCGCAGTCAAATAACTTGGAGTAATTCACAATCGTCTGGTCCGAACACGTAAGAGCTGTTTTGAATAATGGCTGCAGGTTCTCATTCCACACCCTTCGTTCAAAAGCACAATCTAGTCCCCTACACCTCAGTCGATTTTTCCCTTTGCATGCACCTTGGTTCACTGGATTTTGACATCCTCGGTAGAATTTCCAAACTTCAACTTAGTGTCTACATCTTTCAAAGCTTTCCTATGGTACCTCTTTTCAACGCCTCGCAACTACGGTTCATCAAGTCAAACACACCGCCATCGCCTGGATTCATTTTTAACAATTCTATGCACATACCCACGCTCATAGATTCTCGGTTTCATCGTGCCTCGCCAGTTTTCGCCATAACCCTGGTCGACTTTTGAAACAGATTACTTCGATATTTCGCTGATAACTCTCTCACACAATGACCTGCGATCCCTAACACTGTTGATGTCCAATGGTTTTGCAGTCGCTGATGGATATGTTGAAGTACACAATTGACTGGAGTTGAGTCACTTACTTTGGGTGGCCAAATCGGCCATATCTTTCATGTCGAGGCGTCGGCGTTCGACCAACTTTTGATAGCGTTCACGCAACAGAATAGTACTTTTTCGTTCCAGATACTCCAGTTTAGTCATCTAATCAACAAGGGTTATAAACAAGAAGGCCAAAGAACGTGAATATGGGAGTGATCGGTGCAGTAGAAACTCATGGATCTTTTTAGTGTGATTCGGGTTTACGTGTAACTGTCTTGTGGATAAAACTGAAGTTTGCAGGCGCGGTCAGGCCGCTCGAAATAAGCATTTTTCATCCCTGCAATTGCATGATACAACTTTTTTCATTAAGATGGGAACATCAAAATGACCACAGATAAAAAGGGACGAATTGAAATTTCGATTTTACGGGGTAGCTCCAACGCTCAAACACACGTACAGTCCTTCTGTTGTATGCAGGCGCATGTACATGCCTACAACACAATCAGCGTTAAGACGTTCTGGGGACAGACACTTGTGTCCCGGAATCAATGACACCATTGCTCATACACTTATGCTGTGACTTTCACAACACTAAGCACCCTTTTTTGTTATGATTGTATAAGTAAAAGAACATCGGGTATATTTTCACTTTCCACTCACAAATACTTTGGATAAAGATGTGGGAATAAGTGTTTTGTATCGTCGCTGACCTCAGACTCCGTTCATACAGGCAATCCTGTATTTCATTTGTATTTCCCACGCAGCTGAATCCACGCATATGCAATTCTCAGTTCATGCAGTCAACCATGCACTCGGAAAGTATCACACAGGTGTCTGCGCATTTAAAACACTTGAGGATGTTTTGTTTCGCTGTTTCTTATAGTGCAAGCAAGATAGCAGCAGTTGACTGGTAGTATAGTTGGGATCCTTGTTTGCAAACAGACGAATCAAGACAGATCTGAACGTCACAACCAGTGGACGAATTTCAACTGTACCGGCAAGCTGCCGCAAGTAGGCCAATTCTGCCATACGGCGCAGAAACTTGGCCATTAAGAAAGCAGGATAAAGATAGATTGCCGGTGTCCGAACACCGCTGTCTACGCAACATTGCAGGAATATGATGGGACAACCGGACGAGCAATGGTGAGGTTAGGCGCAGAGTTTTATGTAACTGCGGGCGCCCACTGAAGCGAAAGGTCGACCTCTGTAGATTATGTTGGCTGGGGCATGTGTTACGCATGTCACCAAATAGGTTGCCACGGCGCGCGATGTTTTCCGAGGTAGATAGTGGATGGACAAAAGCAAAGGATGGTCAAAAATAGATCTGGCACAAGGGTACGAAAACTCTGACCAGGAGATTCGGTCACATAGGTCGCGTTAGGCTCCCTGGATGAGGACCTGGGAATCATTGCAGTTATTGGTTAGAGACACTGAGTGATACGGCTGTCGTAAACAGTGGTGGTTGTGCAATTCACTATCTCTTTGCAATCGTGGTTTACTGAGATGCTCTACTTTCTCTTCGATTCTACTAACAACTTCCTCTCTTTCTCCAAATGCTTCATCCAAAAGGGAGCCAAAAGACAGCAACCAAAACGAACGCACGAAAGTGGACGGCTGATGCTTGTACAAACCGAAACATGGGAATGCTAGTCAAATTCACAAGATTACTGATTGTGTTAGGTTAGTCTTCATTCTAACTTGAGGACCTTACACGTGATTCTTTAAACGAAGGAATTGTGTTCCGTGGGGATGTTTTCTAACGCTTTTGAAAGGGAAGATGCGACTTCAATTTGAAGAAGCCATCTGAGAAGAGTCCATTGTTAACTTGGTCAGTTACGTTTAAAGGATCCAAGTTATGTAAGAATATTGAGAACACGTTGCGTGTTGATTCTATAAACAAAGTGATTCGCTGAACAATGCAGGTGATGACTGTCAACCGTATAACTCAGCGGTAAGGGTTTGAGGTCCTATCCGGAGCATTCACAATTCGGGTCCTGACAGGGACATAAAGTATGTACTACTGACGAATCCCAAATAGGACGAAACAGCTCTTAACGGTCATCACAAATCTTTCCATCGCTTATAAATGATACTATTGTTTCTAACTTGATAATATGTCTCGTTTTCCGTGTGACTGGAACTCATTCTTTTCCCTGTTTATGTTCCTTTTCCTCGATGGAAGGAATAATTCGGCGACACTTTTGATATAAAAAGATTCGCAGTCCGTGTCTTGTACATTTCATTTTTTGACGATCAAAACATATACATGGATTTAGCAAAGATAAACAGCATGGCAGTGTTGTTTTACGTTCTCTGATATTATAATGCCAAAATAACTAGGGCGACCTATCAGCACGAGAAAACTGATGGGCCATATCAGCCATATCACATATGACAGTGTGGCACTGTACCAGAACGCACACACGCATGCAGCTGGTTTACCAGAATAAACAGCACACACTTTAATTGCGATAGGTTCGGAGTTAAAACCCCAGAAGTGACAGTATGTATGCACCAATGATGAGCTCTAATAAGAGCAGAAACCGGATATAGTGTTTCTCGGGTGTATAGCTGATTGGGTGGACTGGGGATTTCGTTTGGAGATGGAGACTGAACGATGGTCAGTTAAAATCACACACTCCACACCGCTGTGAGTGAAATGCGGATTGCCAACATGAAACAGACGAGCAAGCCTCGAAGCTCGGCGAGTTGACTGAATGAGGCAGTTGTTCGACCTCCTGCACATGAAAACCCACTAACCGGTTTTGTACACTACGTGTATGCACGTTACGCACAACTTATTAGGTTTCGGATTACTTCCGCTATCTCTAAAAGTACATCGATTGGACAAATATGAGTTTTGTGATCAAACGAGCGTCTTTGTCGGAAGATCTGAACGAAAACGAGTGACAGATCAAGACCGGATATCAAGCACTAAAAGAGGAATTGAAAGAAACGGAAAGGCCACTATAAGCAGGCCTCTCGCAGGAAGTGGAGGTGCTTTTGAGGAATATCTCGATAGCAATGAGACAATCCAATTCAACAATCACTTTAGTACAAAAAGGAAATTCTACTTCGCATATTGAAAACGAACGAAACAAGTCATGATTGGGTCAAGCGCCGCAACCCCAAGAAGCTTACCAGCAAGCTGATGTCGTAAATGAATGTTAGGTAGAGATTATCTATGAAACCGCTCTACTCAAATGATTTATCAATATCAATATGCGGGAGGAGGTGAGGTCATCTCTCTCCCGCATACTGACATTCAAAATCAACTGAAGTCTGTCAGCAACAAGCAACAATGGACCATCATGAATCAAATCCAGAGAAATCATCTTCCAGTCCCGTAGTAAAATTTGGCACACCAACTAAGATGGCTGAGCAAAAAGTTTCCGGATGCACGAAAAGTTTTATTTGTTACACAAAAATAAGCACTACTTTTTATCGAACTATTCTCTACCAGTGTTCATGCAGTTCTGTGCGCTCAAACCATTTGGTGAAACAGCTCGACTATGTCGAAGCGAGAACACTTCGACCAGTTCGACGAAGACCACCACCGCAGTTGTTGGTAACTCCTATGGGATTCTACGCACTATATGCTTGACACATGGGAACACAACAAAGTCACACAGAGTCAGGTATGGACTGTAGGGTGGGTGACCAACCTCCTGGATGCGCTCTCTAGCCAGAAAATAGCCGAGGACATGAGATCTATGTGCAGGTACGTTGTCATAGTGGAGTAAGATCCCTCGTGCTCGACTCCTTGGACGAAACCTGGCAACAGCTCTCAGCACTTTCGGCAGACAGTGGATGGCGTACCAGTCTCCGGTGCCTGTGTTTGCTGTACGGGCAGTACAGTAGCCACATGACCGGTTTCGGCCACGAACACAGCCACCATCTGCTTGGCCACACTGCGCTCGCTTCGGAACTTCTGAGATGGCTTCCCACTAGCCGCCGTCCACTGAAACGACTGTTGCTTGGTCTCTGGGTTGAAACTGTACACCCAGGTTTTATCACCACTGATGATCTTCCACACTGTATTGGAACGTCCACCATCAAACCCGGCAAGTATGGAACGGCACCAATTCACACGAGCTGCTTTCTGTTCCTCACTGAGCTGATGGGATACCCAACGTACGCAAACCTTTCTGAGGTCCAGCTTCTCATGCAGAATGGTGCGGATTGATCCTGATGACTTTCGCCAACTTTACCACTGTCAACCATGCATTCTGCTCCACCATCGTTTGAGCAGCAGCAATGTTGTCCGCTGTGGTCGCCTCCACAGGTCGATCATACCGTTCCTCATCATCCAGAGAACGCCTGCCACCCTTGAATTCTACGAACCACTCTGACACAAAGCACCTTGAAGGTGTGTCATCACCAAAGGCAGCTCGCAAACGATCAACACTCTGCTGCTACTTTAGACCACATTTGTCATCGCAGAAAATCATCACCCTTAGGTGATATTGACTGTTTCATCCTTTCAGTCAGAGTATAGCGACCATTTTTACTTATGAGCTGTGCCTGGCTGTTGACAGTTGGTTCTGAGTTGCATGCATTCACTGAACAACATTCACAATAGATTACAGTTGTCTTTTCATCTGCATCTCATACGTGAACTGTGTAGCTGGAAACTTTGTGCTGAGCCATCGTATGCTAATTGTAAAACACTCGGCGCAAAACTCGTGCATCACGTATTTGACACATTCGACAAAAACAAACCATAAATTTTGCAAGTTACCACCTTAGTTTTGTACGAATTGCATAATTCGCTCGGAATTAGGTCAGCAGTTAAAACGAATCCAGGTGTTGCTGGAGCAACGAGATGTTAGTCCACCAATCAAACACTCATTTGAGAACGGAGAAAATCATGACCCTATGCTTGCACTTAGCAAAGTTTCTATATAGATAAAACGAAACCAATTACATAAAATTGGAAAATATAGCGCAACGTATCACGAGAAAATATGAAAAAGGTTCAACTACAAACCAACGAATAGGAGGCTCGCAACAGATGCGATATTACTAACGGTTTTCAACTGTCACCTGTTTCAAGTCATAGATACTGACTGTTCTTGAAACCCTAACATGGGAGCCTAGAGTATCCTACAGTAGCAACTTTGAGTTTAACACCTTCATCGTTCGAGCCCAGGTTTTCCACCTTGTCGCCGATTCAGTTAGTGTCGGCTTGCGCAAATATAACACGATGGGGCAGTCGTTGAGCCGGTATCCGCAACGCACTTCCAAGCCACTGAAGTCTCTGAAACGAGATGACAGCACTCAGAAGATAACTGATATCGTCTCAGGCGATGATTCTTCGACGAACCTCATTGGTGGTGATTCGCTACTTCCAACGTATTCTGGCGATACAACGAAGGCAACGGTGGTCAGATTCACTAATTCTCCGTACGTCCTCTGCGCGAAGGAGCCAACTCTCTCAGCCGTAGAGTAAGAATGCGCATTATGGCATCGTAAACGCGGTCTTTCAAGGAGTGGTTGAGATTGCGTCAGCACCACAGGTGATGTAGGTTAGCGAAAGCCACTCGAGCCTTGTAGACACGCGCTGATATTTCTTCCGTCAGTCCTCTTGAGCTGAAGCAACTCCCAAGAGAAGTAAAGTGATCGACGATTTTCAACTGGTCGTTCATAAGCGTGAGGATAGATGTAATCTTTTGCCAGTCTTATAGTAAGACCTTAAATTTCGATGGAGAAAAGGTCATATCAAACTGCGTGACGGAAAACGCTAACTTGCACAGGACGTTTTGAGCGTCTTCGGAGGAGTCGTAGAGTATAACTATGTCGTCAGCATACTCCAAGTCACGGAGTCGATCACCTGGTTGAAGCTCCACACCGGAAGCTCCGCAGTTTTCTATAGCACTGCCTGGGATTTTGTCTACTGCAAGATTAAAGAGGAAGGATGAAGCCGGGCACCCTTGTTGGACTCCGCTTGTGATGGTAAATGAAGGGAAGATACGATCATTGACTTAGACGAGACCTGATCTTCTTGAGTAGACGTCTTTGAGAAGATTTGCATACTTCTCAGGCACACCGCTGCAGAATAGACAAGTCCAGAGAGCTGATTAGTCAACTGACTCAAACGCAGTAAGTATGTTCCCGGATGCGAAAACTATCGACAAATTTATCAATACAAATTATGGGTATTGTTAGAGCGACTCTACTATGGTTTACAAAGTAATAGTGATTTTTTTCTGAATACAAGAGCAATGGTTTACTCGCTTCGTGATTATGGAAGCGTAAAACAACTCAATATCAATTCACAAAGCCGAAAAAATATGCTATATAAGGTAAGACAAGATGAGAACTACTTGCGAGCAGGCTTTCATGCGCAAAAAGAAAAAAGTCTCGAAGTCTATAACGAAAGGATTCAATGTCATAAAACCAGAATTAATCAATCTGATGGCAATTTATCAACGGATTTACCTTTTCGTTGAAGCACTCCACAAGATCATCCACATAAGACTTCAAATTCTGTGCGTACGAGAATTTCTTAGCCAACTCTGGTAACTGCTTTCGACAATCCGTTTGCACTTGACGTCCCCGTTCCAGGTCGGCTCGAGCTTGATTAAGGGCTGCATCGTGTTCCGATAATGATTGGGAAACTTTCTCGTACCTGTATCCGTGTGCGGATAAACATGTATATATTAGAATGAATGCAATGCTAAGACGCTGGTCAGAATTCGATCAACATTGAGTGGGACATTTGTGCGCAATGTGACACCGCTACTAAAACGTAGTATGGTGATAAATGCGTAAAAATTATCTGGGTAACCAGATGACAGTCTATAGAAGTCCCGCCAGCCGAAAGAAGCAAATCATTTGGAACGTGCTTGTGGTTTGAGTGAGGTCGTATGATTTCATCAGATGCGTCAGTATGCTGAAAAGGATACATTCTGAAAGATATGGGTCGCAACCGGGGATCGCGGTAGAGCTAGCTGTCCGAACTGTGTTAGTCCATCATATCCTAACTTATTCAGAACAAACGAAGAACTACATTCAATGAAAACTGTAAAAACAATTGACCTTTTTAAAAGGTATAGTTATTTTTCCTTTCCTTCCACCTCGTGTGCGACGTTTGTACCAAAGACAGGAAGACTATTGCATAGAGATAACGTCGATGGAAGAGGAGGAAAGAACGTTGTAGGAGAAGGAACAGAAATGGATAACTCATGAATCTAAAAGACTAACCGGCTAAGAATCAGTGAAAAACGTAACATACTTCTGCAGTAAACTGGCTTTGACATTCTCAAGTGTCACATTGGCCGCATTCAATCCAGCAAAAAGTGGATCTGTGGAATCGGGATCGATGGAGGTGCCGGAATCAGTACGACTAGTGGGTTGTAAAGCTTCCAATACCGCTGGATTCTGTGCAAAAGAAAACAGGTAGAAGAAGAGGAGAGAGACGTGTGAGAGAAATGTGTAGTAACGGAAAGCTTGTTAACGATTAGTGGCAGTGGTTAGAGTGGATCTTGAAGTACGAGTTTGTACATTTGACAGTTTTCAAACTAAACCGTGATACCCAAGAGGTTCCCATAGCAAACACGAATTGATCAGGTAGGAAGGGGACGGTAAAAAAAAGGATGGTAAAAAAAACTACTGCGGTTCCTCACCTGAGTGATCAAGGCTTTCTGAATTTGTTGGCGTTCCCATTCGGCGTCCTGATCACTATCGCGATCACTTCCGTGTTCTGTGGCCAGGAAGTCCTGACGAATGGATTCCAGTTCATTTTCCCGGTGCTTTAAACGAGATCCAATCACTGGACGTTTTACTACCGTGTCACGAGCCTCACTGACCACGAACGCAGGACGGCGAGTACTTGTTGATGATTGAAGTGATCGGGACACATCATAAATTTCATCCTCATCCTCATCGTCATCATCATCCTCGCTGGGTGTGGCACGACAAGAAAAAAGATGGTTTAGATCATGTATATAGTCAATCTAACACGAGTGGTGAAGGCAATCGTATCATTAGATGAAAACCACTCTCATCTTAAAGGATCCCTATGAGACGTTACAGTTGTATACCCTCAGGTTAAGCAGAGCTGAATGCTACCAGGCGCGTCCCCGGGTTGTGGATAGGGGGATATCTTCACCGAAGAAGGTCAACTGTGAATAAGTTGTGGCATACCGCAACAAAACAAGCAGTCACGAACAAGCAGCGGCGGCTCTACCGGGGTGTGGTGGGTTTCAGGTTGGTCACCTGGCTCCTGTTTAAAAGCAGCATAAGTCCAATCACGGTATCCTGACAAAGGTCATTGTGACTGGCCTTTAAAAACCAAAGTCACTGACCCCCTCGCTTTCGAGTCGAGAAATTACTTCTTACTACTTTGCAATTTGCACTTGGTTGTGCAAAGGTTAAAGGTGCGCCCTCAAAATAGAAGATGCCGGATTATCGCTGGATAGGGCCCTCGTACGAAACTTCCAAGTAACTTCATGATCAGTATCATGTCTGGAACCGGCTTTTCCTTCCCAAGGAGCCAGCCACAGTAAAAATGATCTGCACTTTCCAGCTTCATTAGCACTATACCAATTAATAAAAGCACGATATGTTGACTAATTTTGATCCGAACTAAATTGTTGAAATACTGACCTAGAATCGGAAAGCCTAATTTTTCCCTGACACCCATAGCAGCACTGTTTTCTCAAGTCAGTGAACCGTATGTCCTTAATTCCGGTCAGTTGGTCGGTTCATTCAACAAACAGCCTCTCCCCTTCCCTCACGCCGCGTGTGAGCCTCTGTGCGTGCGTGCATGCACACACGTGACCGTTGTCAACATCTGTCAGCTGGTATTCAGTTGCGTTTGTGTCCTGTTCAACTGCTCTGCGAACACAGTTGTATGCTGTCGTACTCTCTCTCTCTATCTCTATTCACTAACATTGGTTTTTCCGAAACAAAAGAAAATGAAAATTTAACAGTGCACTCCTATGCACACCTGGAAAATCCCGGTTTCCAAATTTCTGCCTGTTCTTGTGCATTTCAGTGGTCCGTCCATGAATAACGTCTCGTCTTGCTATCATCCGTTCGCGACATTTTACACGCAGACTGTGCACAGAACGTGCTATTTCTTCCCTCAAAGCAGGCCCAGTCCCCGTTTACCTTACGCAGTCATACTTTGTGTGTGTGTGTGTATATTGCGAGTTTGGCAGCGATCCCTATGGTTCACTTCACTGTATTGTGCTGTTCGACAAAGATGACGGCATGGGATTATTTTTTTACAATCCACATCATTTCAACCGGGAATTTTAAAACATTCTAAATGTTGAAATTGTTAAAAGTCCCCCCGATGGAATTCGAAGCCACGCATGGACGCCACCTGCGCTTTTGTTCAGCGTTCGCTCTACCAACTGAGCTACGAGGCCACTGCGAAAGCAATGATCTTTTCCCGTTTGAATTCCACTGAAGCTACTGGACCTGTTACAATTTCAACAGAAGACTTTAATCTACCGAACAACAATTTGAACATTCTGAATGAATAAAAATTTTCCCCGCACATGAACTGATCAGCTGAGAATTTCGTCACACCGAGAGGAGCACTGAATTGTAGAATGCATCCATGTTTTAGGAAATTTTTCGGATCCCTTTTGGAATTAATTCCCAGTACAGGCGCTATTTACAATTTATAGGTATAGCTA